CCTGCTATTTAAAGTGATCTAATTTTTAGGAAATGAGCAGAAGTTACTGCATCATTCTCATGATGACAGAAGTGAAAGAAAAAATAGATAAAAATTTTAAAAAAGAAATGAAAAGTTCCACTAAGGTTCACAACAAAAACATCCTCCTTAAATATAAATGTATGTGTGACCTGACCGGACTTAACCAATTAACTTTTTTTTTTTCTGTGATTTTAAAGGACTAAGACCATCTCCTACCACAGACATGTGGGTATTCAGTGTAACGTGATATTTCTGAGTAACCGAAACTGTCTGAGCCTCATTATCACATTTACAGCATTTACACAGGACAGCCTTTCTCAGAAATAACAATCACTGATCATCTCACAGCAATTTGTTATGGAAGTACGAAATATTATCTGTCCACTGTGTACTGAAATGACAGAAAAACGCCTCGTTCAGACATTATTTGGCATGAAAATGCAGGTTTTGTTACAGAGAGCCCAACGTTGCCATCACCCTACATTATCACACAGAACACAGATCTATCTATCAAATAATTCAGACAACAGATTTCGCTCCAGACAGCATTTCTCTCAGAGCAGAAACACCAACTGAAATGACCCTTTAGCTGTATCACCATATATTTATAACCCACATACAGAACAGCAAGCATTTATATTTATGAGCACATGTTTATTTATTACAGTATATACCAGAATCTCTGTGTATACCACATTTAATTAGCAGTTCCTGGGGGGGAAATGCATATCTTTTGTCATGTAGAATTAAAATCATTCTTCTTCTCACTCTATTCTTATCAAATCCAACTTCAATTTTTATTCAAAATAAATCAACAGAGTTATATTTCGGTGCAAACCTACATCATTCCTTCTGATGTGAGAACGACGGCTTTCCTTAAATCACACTTTCACAGAAAAGGCCCTTTGGGATTCACTGTTTTGTTCACTTTGCTCTTGAAAAGAAAATATTGGTTTCATGATTTTTTGACGCTTTATTCTGTCAGGATTTTGCTCACAGGAAACCAGGAGGATTCACACCTCTTTGTCATCTCTCTTTTGCTCTTATTATCAGTTCACACCTCTTCCCTAGAGACTCCTGAACAATATCACACATCTTAAATATTCAGGGGGAGATCTCGACATCACAAACTCACAAACCACTGATTGAATCCCAGATTTGCGTGTGTATGACGGCCATCAACAATGAATTATTAAGTCAACCCAGTCGTTCCAGGAGGGAAAAGACAGCTTCAACTCTGACACACATAGTTAGTGACCGTCCGGATTAAGTGTCCAACACACTGACCTCCACCCTGCTGCTCACATGGGGACCGAAACTGACTCAATCGGCCAAATATGTGAGCAAATACCAACAATCTGACTTTGCTTTCCTTCATCGGGAAGAAACAAATGATACATTTGGTAAGATGAACATAAAAAGATGCATGAGCTTTCACAAATACGAACATAAATCAGTAAGAATCAGCTATTCGGATGAATCCACTCACTTTAGTGACGTAGTTTATTCTGTACAGTTTGTTCCTGATTATGATTCTGTGGTGGAGTGATTATCTCAGCTGTATTTGCTTCTGGCGTGTTGCTTTTAATTTCCTAAGACCACAGCATGTGGTGGAGATGGGAGTTTATATCCAGTTCCATTGTGTATGTTCCTCCATCACTGGAGTATTTCTGCTGTAAATCCTTCTAAACAATCACGACTCTGCACTGACTTGTATCCAGTCACAAAAGATCATTTAATCCACACCACAAATCGCCTTTTTGTCCCCACAGACACGTTCAGTTCAAGTTATTTACAAGCTCTTCTCTGAAAGTGACGACGCATTGTTTGACAAAAAGTGGAAAATGAGTCCACAAATCCTCGTTTCGTTAGAGATTTCATTACAGAGTTTTCATTTTCATGAATAGATAATTAATCAAATCGGCTGTGGGCAGACTGGACTTTCTAAAACAGATCAATAACTTCTTTCTAACTTAGTTTGACCAGGATGAAGAGAACTGTTTACACAAAACCAACAACCAATTAACTCATTGGCTGCCAAAGACGTCTATAGAGGTCTTTTATGTTTTTCAACGAGAGTGTCTGGGGGACGATCTGCTAAAGATTGTCCGTAAATATCAGGCTTCTAGACAGAGTATGTAGTAACAAATTGACCCTCTAGGGGGCAGTGCCACTTTTGATGGGAGATGAGCATAGACTGTAGGCAAATAAGAAAAAGGGAACGGTTCTATGAGAGAACATGTCGCCGGTGAGACGCAAGTCCAGGAAGAACGGAATAAGGTAGAAACACTTTTTTTTTCCTGATGAAAGAAGAGAGTCTACTCTTTCTTTTGGTGTGATCGGTGTTTACATAGTCATAGCACAAACTATTCTGTGGCTCTTGAAAAATCAGTCAAAATGCTCCAAAAACTCTGGCAGTATGGGACTCTGTTCTGAAAATGGCTGGCAGTCAATGAGTGAAAATAGAATTGGTCCAAAATTAATCCAGGGTGACAATATCGACATTTGAAATTTGAAAAGCGTCTGCCGTCAGAGACAAACTTGAATAGAAAATAAGATGAGCTTAGTGGGTCTAAACTATACAGGGACTGGGACGGTTCTGAACTCCCAGTTCAGCTGGAACTGGGTGTCTTAAGCCTTCGAATAGAATTAGAAATAGAAGCTAAACATATTTTCTTTCCACTGCTTGCTGCCAGGATCAGAAGGAGCTCCTCCAGCTAACGTTAAAATCATGATGCAAGGCCGTTTTCGATACTGCAACGATTGTTCCACCCTGGTGAGAGTAAAGTCCTGGTCCAGGGCTGTGATTGGCCGGTTAAGAAGCCCCACTGTTCCAGGTCACAGAAGTTTTTTTTCCTCCACTTTTCGAACACCGGGAAGCTGAACCAAGATTTTTTTTTAAAAGCCCTGCTGGATTCCAGGTAGCGGGTGACCCTCCTCTGGTGATGCTAATGAAAAATTAATCCGAAGTCCAAAGGTCAAAGGTCAGCTGACAGATGTATTTATGCGCCTTTTTAAAAGACGAGCTCCCGCAGAGAGGGTGGAGAAAAAGCACTAACGTGGGTGGAAACAAGCATTAAAGAGACGCTTTTCATTCATGGAGGGGGATTAGACGCCTCTCACAAGAACCCGAGGCTCCATTCTCTCAGACCTTTTTTCCGACGCGTTATTCTTCCTCACACCTCGATATTTTGCTCCTCTCTCATCCCTCCAAAGATGTTCTGTTCTCTCCTCCTTACTCTGGCAATGACAAGTTTAATCACGTATATGTATATTCATCAAAAACACATTTTTACAGCACTGATACACGTCGACGGGCAGGTTTTCTAGCATCCAGCAGTTTCTGGTGGTTCATTGAAATCTGCTTTTTTCATGAAAATGAAACCTCGCCAGAGCAAAGTGATTCATTCAAAAGAAAACAGAAGGAGATAGAAGTGTAGGCTTGCAAGAAGCAATTAGTTTGAAGCAATGTGTTGATTGCAAATTCAAATAGGAAAGATACATTAGCAAAGAATACTAATCCTTATATTCACATTTGGGGAACGATGCATACAAATGTGTTTTTTCTGTTATACTGTAAAGCATTTAAAGCATTCATACTTCACCGTTAGCTCATATGTGTCCGTTTAATAGCAGAAAACGTTGTAATAAAAAAACAAAGCTGACAGAACGACTTCCAGGAGGTTAGTGACATACATGGGGGGGTCTGTAGATCCA